CCGGCCACCGGCTCAACTTTGGCGCTGGCGGCGCGTTGCGCGGTGTTCTCTTTGGTAGGTAGACGCAGAATAAACTTTTTATTTTATTTTTGTTTCGGCAGGAAGTCGACGCGAGTAAACGTCTTAAGGGGTTGATACCCGCCACGTTCCCAAAGAGTCTCGCCGCGAGAAGGAAGTGGCGGACGGCAGCTTAAGGAATTAACGGCTTTTCCCCACGTTTGTCAGTCGGTTATTAGGAAAGCGCGGCGAGCAGGCTGATTTGCATGAGTAATAACCTTAAAACAATGCATCGTTTCATTTCACAATTTTCTAGGTTCAAAAAAGCTAAGTTATTTTCCGGTTGCTTTCCATTCTCAGGCACCTCTGAAATTCCCCATGTTACGAAGCTGTGGAAATGCCAGAACGATACGAGACAACGCTTCTTACTGTTATTTTTTTGTACCTGGGTAGAAGTAGTCAGTTCTGAAAATCTTTTAACGTTTATCACTCCCATAAATCATTCTGGAAATACAAGATTTCATCTTTCATCATCACGCTGAGTGAGAAATGAGGAAAATTTCAGCCTAGCTGAATAATTTACCCTCAGCCTGTGCTGGAACACGGACAAACAGGATGTATTATCCCCAATATGTGGATAGAAAAATGGAGGCAAAGAAGTACAGGCATTCATTTTTAAAGTATAAAGGTGCTAATTTGTAAGCAGGCAATTTAGCTTTTTTTTTTTGGAGGAAAAGCACCGTGTATGTACAGTTCCTATTGAAATTGGACTTTAGGCACCCAAGCAGAAAGACTTTGGCCATACTCTTTTGGGGTCCTGCAGCCCTAATCCCATGTTCTAATTGGCTAGTAATCTGTGGACAGATATTGTAACAGTTCCTTTAGAATATTTTTCTACTTCTCACTCATTTGCATACTAATGGCATAAAAATAGGCACTTCCTGCCAGTAATTAGTTGGAGCCCAGAATTTAAAGAAAGAAAAAGACCACAGCATTATGGTAGACGGATGGTACTGAGGAAGCTGCAGAAAAGAGTCACTTCTCTGGCACTCAGAGAGTGCCTTTAATTTAGAGTTCAAGGCTGGCAACTATGTTACCTCTGTGTGACAGGGATTAACTGTTTGCTTGGCCTAATAACTTTGCCTCTAATGAGCCCTTCAGTAACTTTTTTCATTGCAAATCACTCTTATCTGTCCTAGATCCAGTCTTGCTGCTCTAAAGCTTTTTCATTTTTTTTCTTTTTCCCAGAAAGAATAATGCTAATAGTAAAGTCTGCATCGTGAGTGTAGTTCCTTGTGAAGCACCATGAATCAAACCAACATTGAGTGTACTCAAGGATTTTTGACCTAATGAGGTACTGTGCAACTCATAACCACATGAAGTCATATGAATCGCATGAAGTCTAGGTTCAGTCACTTAAAGTAGACTATTAAGAGCTGGATAGCTTCAGGTATTTATATTAGGTTATTTAACTTTTCACATGTAGGTCGCAGACTTGAGCACAAACCGGGTTGGTGATTGCTGGAAATTGTCCCTACATGGTGGTAATGTAGGTAGCCTTTGTTTAACCTATCACTGCTCTCAGACAAATACATAGTGGAAGAGTTTTCTGTATTGCAGAAATTCCTCCATTGCTGTCCTACAGGTGGTATTTATAGAAAGGTGAAACATGGAAGTATGGAATGATCCATCCAGCCCTAAAGAACAGTGATAACCGTGATGAGACAGGGAAAGCTTATTTTGCCTCTTTCATTCCATAACTTCACTGGAGATAGATATTACAGATTACATTCTCCAGGGCTATCAAACTGACACCTTCACTTAAGAATTAAATGCATAAACCCTTCCTGTGGTATTACTTACAGGAAATTTCTGCAATTAGCTTTTGCCATCTAGGATCGGACAATACTGATCTCCAGTGATGTGACTTAAAGGCTTATGAGATGAAAATACAGTTAATTATATACCTTTGACTTATTTACCTATTCCAATAGTAGTGTAATTATTAATGCAGCTTCTCTCTAATTTATTGGCTCTAACTAGTAGCTTCTTTAGAGCTGCTGCTCTCAAGGAACTGTGGGATAGACCCAATACATTAGGTTTGACTCCTAAAAGTTGAAGACCTGCACCACAACAGCAAACATTTGCTGAGTCCCCTTAGTACAATCCAGAACCAAAGTTGGGTGTTTAGACCTTTTAGAGAATGCCTAGAGAGAGTCTGGGCTGTTTGCAGAGCAGATATACTTACTTCAAATTAAGTCGACAGAATCTTTGCATCAACATAGCCGTGTTCACCCAAGCAGGCTTGCAGGTGTGGCAATGGCAAACCAACGGCATGAGTCTTTAAATAACCTGTGAGCATACAGCTGTTAAGGACAGATCATGCAATATACACATGTGTCAAGGCCACAGCAAGGCTCCTCCACCCCTTTGAGATTCACTGTTTAGGAGCCTTTTCCAAGAACAGCCGTTTGTCACGGTTCTTGCACTGAGTGAGCAACCCTACATTTTGCATGATAGCCTAAAGGGTAAAGCACTTGCTGAGGAATTGGGAGATTTAAGTTGAAAATCTTCCTCCACTTGTTAGGAATCAAAACAATGTCTCCCTCTGCTTGTGACAGGCTATTCTGTCCCAGGTCAGGAGGTGTAGAAAGGAATGAAACTTCTGTGGGGGCCTGAAGCTGACCTGGGCCAAATAAGCCTGAGTCTACACTGCAGTGATTAGGGTATTCAGTAGGGAGAGTGCCCTGAATTTCTAACACCACTACAAAAACCTTTTCCACCTTTCATATATCTTTCAGTTTCCCTTTCCCTCTATCCCTCCCACTTTGTTGCTAATCTTAATGTCAAGTGTGAATGAAACTCTATAGTATATTGTACTGAACAAACAAATGGAAGTGTCATATTCTTTTTAAAACGAGAGCTTGTAAAGCTTCTATCCACACTACCAACAGAATTACATTACCGGAAAGTATTTTCCTGAAAACTTTGTGACTCTAGCTTATTAAAACAGATCCTTAAGATGATTGGGTCTATTCCATTAGTAGGTTTATAAAGTGTACAGACTGGGTAAACAACAGTGACAGCTTGGGGAAGTGTATGCACCTGTTTATTAAAAAGACGTTAACAAGGGCAAATCTAAAATAAGAACATGTACCACAACCCAATTTCCAGCAAATTTTTATGCATGCCTACACTTAAGGTTACCAGTGTTACTGGCAATTTCTCTCTCTCCTCTCTCTTAAGTATACAGCAACTGATGAGCATGGAGCATCTGTGGCAAAGGAAAAAAACACCATCTTCAAATTTTGAGGAGCAAACATGACCCTTTCTGTTTCTACTGTTTCCCACCCACATTCAGTTAGTGTGAGAGAAGGAGGAAAAGGAAAAGGCAGAGGTCTTCTCTTTGCATGGAAGGACTGCAGAATTTATTGTTTTCCCAATCATAAGCAAGCACTTCCATCACCATTTTTGCTCTACATTCTATGTGACAGTGAGTTTTCTATATTTCACTTGTATAACTTAGAAGAGGTCACATTTGTAAAAGTCCCTCTGCAGAATTTGGATGTATGCAAATTCTACAGCACATATGCAATTTGTAATTCACAGATAGGTATAAGCATATGCAAAATGGAGATTAAAACTGTATGTGCAAGTTTGCAAAATTAATCAACCAAGAATGTACGAAACTGCAAATGCTCTGTTGAAATTTGGCTCTAAAAAGGTTTATAAATTAACCTTCTACAGGGAGCATTCAGTCAAGGATGCTAAAAACACTTCGTTTTCATTATTAATAAGATATACATTTACCCGGAGTAAGAATAAGATTTTTAAGAAAATATCCCAATCTTGCAGGGGCCTCTCAGAAATCATGCCTATTAACAATTGCTTTAGTGGTGTCTTTTATGGGAGTAAAATGCTGCCAGCTAGGATTCCCTCCAGGAATAGGTCTTAATCCCCAAAGATATCTAAGTACTACATTTTTACAGATTGAAAACTAGAAATGGAATGGGTGACACATACACGTTCACACATAAAATCAATAATGGAGTAAAGAATCAAAACTCAGGCTCCAAACTTGTAATGTGTATTATAAGGACAGGTTATGCTCCCTGCTTGCAGTCCCCTTCATGTCAGTAGTTGATCTGCATGTTATCACCCGAAAAATCAAAGCTGTTGACCTGTGTTTCAGCGTATGGCCAGATGAGCTAGTAGCATACAACCTGCAAACCCGTTCTGTTACATCTATTACATGGGCCGATAGATTGAGACAAAGAGCGTTAAACGATTCTCACAATACAAGAGGCAAAAAAAAGTTTTACTTCACTATACGTTTTACTAGAGCTGGATACAATAGGATGTGATTATTTTAAGAACATTAAAAATACCTACTATCTTCCTCCCACGTCAGGTATAGTATGTCTGATGTATTTCAGCTTTGTAATTTTCTAAAATGAAAAATTCTGATTTAACAAAACCTCTTAGAAGGAAGCTTACTGATACTATCTTACTTCCCTCTTTTCTTATTGTGGAATTGTTGAGAGAATGCCAGTTGCTACTTGTCATCACAACTTACTAGTCCATGATATTGCTTATTAAAGACAATAAATATTAACCAGAAAACCCCTTAAAAGCTGACCAATCTGCAGAATTCAAGTGCATAGGTAATAACACAAGGGCAATGTCAATCTAGCTTTTCATTCATTACCTAAATTCGCACACATGTGCACACACACACACACACACACACACACACACACACACACACACCATGCATTCTCAAAAAACAGTTGTTTTATTTTTCTTCCCAATATTTATTCAGCAAAATGTTAGCAAATTTTTATTTCTCGTATACCAAACTATGTAAGTGAATGAACAAATGTCTCCGCCTCTCTGTCAGGAAACTGCGGCAGAAGTCATTGATACATGGTACTGTCAAATGCGGGAAAATGAGGGACTGCAATATGAAACAAAATGCCAAGGTTGGTGATCATTGGTAAGATACTTGTGACTCCAAGCTGAAGCCCTAGTTTGTCCCCCATGCATGGTATTAAGAAGTATATAAGGTGCTGTGTTTGCCTCTGAACTGGGTCAGTTCTCTCGGCAATAGCGTGCATTAGGGATCGGCACAGGTTTCACAGCTGCACAGTGCAGAGTTGCTCCGCTAGGCATGAGCTAATGTACGGCTGATTTCTCTCTGGGGGCACTTTGATTCTGGGTTTCAGAGAGGACCCTTCCGGTATTCCTAATGATATTTTTGGCTACCGTGCCTGGCAGCATTATAGAGTTGTTGTGGACTCTGCAGCACAGATACCAAAGAAACGTAGCCTGAAGAGCTGTAGCAGAAGACTTAATATCACAGCTGCCCACTACTCAAAAAGGCAAAGGTATAAGTACAAAAAAAAAAGGTATTTCAAGCTGTATGAGCAGATTAACAAAGCTGTTTGCTATTAAGGACAAAAGCTTCAGGAAAAGAAAAAAAGAGGAAATGGGCTGTATTACTGTGAGTTGGCACAGAAATGAAATACCAGGGTGCAATTTATGTATAGTAATTGTTCATGAAGCATTCTTTTGGTTTTGATAGTGACTCATTGTGTTCTTTGTGACCTTTGATGTACAGGATGGGCTGCTAGAAGACAAAGGAAGCCACAATAAGAATATAAAGCTTTATTAACTTGATTTTGTTGTTTTGTTTTTTTTTTTATTGCTCACTGATTATAGGTAATATGTCTAGAGAAGACTACCAGAGTTATTTACCCTGGATCCTCATGTTTTTTGTCTTCTGCTCCAGGCTCTAGCAGTTGAAAAACAGCTTTGGTTTAGCTGAAAAATAACTTTGGTTTTAAAAGGGAAATTTATTAAACAATTGGTTGCTGACATTGATTACTGAGTTCTGAAAAATAAGATAACTGATCGAAACACTACTTGTGTTAGTAGCCCAGGTAATGAACAATGATAGGTGTGCACTATATGGGACAGAAGGAAAAGTTATTGAGAAGATATTCTTCTAAGTGAATATTTTATGTTTTAAGAAAATTATGGAAAAAAGCCTTTCATACAGTCATCAGAGTTGACACAACAGACTCTTCAGAGCTGTTAAGTTCCATTATGTAAATCTACCATGATGTAAGCCAGACACTGTCAAGTTTGATACGCCCCAAATTTGACCTGATTAGCCATTTGGTTGTTACTTTTTTCAAAGCTTGTGCAACTGAACTCAGTTCAGGATATAGATGCTAATTGAACGAGTAACCTACAGGTGCTAAGGAATTCTTACAAAAGAAGATCTATCCTATTAGGAATGCAAGTCAAGGCTCAAGGTCATCAGTTAGAGTAGTGGTGGTGGGAATAGAAATCCTAGCTACAGCTCTCTTAACATCCCTGTTTTATTTCAGGGAGCGAAATTCAAATCCAGAATAAGTCAATGCAGACTAATAGATATTTGCCAGCTGAAGCCTCTCCAGCTTCAAGCTTTTTCAAGGGGAAAGAACATTTCCTTAAGTTTTTAAAAAGCTGAGACTATGTGATACAAAACCGTGAATGATTTACCCTACCCCACAGTAACAAATGCATCCTTAAGCAGATCACAGCTGAAATGTTCTCCCTTTTATATATCTGCCATCCGATATACAGCCTGCTAATCTGTACCTAACTGCCAGTGTTCTGTTTGCTCCAGGTTTACCTTTTAAGTTTCACATCTGTGTGCGTGTGTCCCTAGTCTAAGATGTGTACATTCAAGTCCTCTTCCTACCCAGATAGGCCATTTGATAAGCAGGAATACAATAACCCTTTTTTTGTGATTACACCTTGGCCCAGATGCCTTAATGTAAGCCCTGTATCTCTTGTGCTGTTTCCCCACAATACCCTAACCAAAATGAAACAAGATAAAAAGAGTTGCACAACCTCTGAATTTCCTGGCTTTTATCTTTTTATACCAAACCCTTTGTGTTAATTTTGCATGGCTATTTTTACATAAGAAATAATATCCTGAATTAGTGATGTCACGTGCACTTAAGAATCCCACCTAACTGCAGTCAAGTCATCTGGCAACCTGACAGTGTTTCCTGCTCCTTCCCTCACATCAGCGCTGCAGGGAGAGTATTGCTAAAAGTTTCACATCTGAAAAAGCAGACGATTTGGCAACACCTTCCCATAGATATAGATATATATGTATTTTTTTTTTTAAGAAATATGTCTGTCTTTGAGTAAACTTTCCTTTCCAACTGTTCTCTTTTGTCAGCTTGCCAGCTCTACTTCTAGTATTGTTCTGTGCAGATTGCTGTAAGGAAAATGAACGAGATGAGAAAGGTACAGAACTGGGGGAAAGGGAAAAGGGTTCAGAGGGCATTTAAAGCCTGGGGAGCCTAGCATGGGAAGGGAGATAGGCTTAGGAAACAGGGAATAAAATGGTGGAATGAGAGATAAAACAAGAACATAAAGGATAAGGGATTAGAGAGATAAGGAGTTCAAGAGATGAAATGTGAATAAAGGAAAACAAGAAAAATAAGGATGAAAGGAAAGCAGTGACAGGAATAAGACATGTAAACAATTAACTAAGAAAATATTCTGTTTATTTTAGTGAAAGAAAATTATAGTATCTTTATTATTCTCTGGTTTACTAGTTTAGAGGAATTTTTCAAACTAAGAACTGACATTTGGACAGTATTACTGAACAATGATAAATATAAGCCTTCCAGTTGTTGAATTAACCAATTCTGAATTTGACTAATTAATATATCATTCACGCAAATAACAATTTGGATGAGAAAACAAAGTAGTAAAAAATATTAACTGCTGCAATACAAAGGGCAGATCTGGAAGAGCTCTTCACAGTATTTGCAGCTTCATCCATCAGTTTAGTGATAATCACTCAAAAATATACAGACCAGCCAGCTGACACTCTGCTGCAGATAGTACCAGAGCTGTGAATACAAAAATACTTGGTTCAAGTTCCTGCATTGTCCATTGACCAGCAGAAAATTTTCTCATGATCATGCTTTGTAAAAGCATTTCACAATATTTTTTTTTTCCTGTCTGGATATCTATAAAGTGTTACCAAGTCTCAGTTCGCTATCTGTCTGGTTTGCTTGAGCTGTTCATATAGGTCTCTTAATGTGGTGTAACTTAGATAATATTGATTTTTTTCCCTGATTGGCTGAAGATATATCATCAGGAAGTTGAAATTTAGTTGAAGCCACGTTCACCTGTATTTTCTGAAGAAGGCTGCATATGTATAAGTAGGTACAAGTATCAAAAAAACTCTTAAGTATTCAAAAAACCAAACATTTTCTCCTTAGTTTCCATGCTTGATTCTGACAGGAAGTGGCCAGCTACATTATTAACTAGCTTAGCTATCTTCCCTCCCTTTCCAATACCCTTAAACTTACATAAAATAGTTCAGGACTATAAGGAAAAACATTCCCTGAGACCAGAGTTATTTGGCCTATAAATCCTAGACTCTGCATATTCAAGAAAAAAAATTATAAAGGCCTATAATTTCCTACTTAATAAAAACCTCATTATTTCTTTCTATTTTGGCAGGCAATCATTATGCCCCTGCTTTTCAGAAGGTTTCTTTTTTCCTAATGTCCAAAGACTTTCTCTGATCTGAGTAACGGTGCCTCTGGATCCCTCTCCAACATGGAACAGAAATATGTGGATACAGTAACATTGAAAACGCTGTATATCATCCTAGAAATGAGGTACTCTTCTTACTTGAATACTATGGGCAAACATGAGTTTACATGCCAGGAAGTTGGGAGCTTTAGGATTCTACATGAGGAGCCTCCTTTGGGCCCCTTGCATGCTGTGGAAGCACACAGATCTGTGCAGGTCCATGGACTCCTGAGCAGATCTCGGGGGCTGTTATGGGTGCATATGAAGAGATAATCACGATATTTCATAGCCCTTCTCTTCATGTTTGATGGGACAGTCCTGTGGTAGGATTTCTTTCTCCAGAGAATCCACAGAGAAGGAGAGAAAATGAAGTCTAATGACAACCAGTCCCAGTTCTGGCGTTATCCAATCCTGTTAATTGTTTAAGAGGGAGAGCAACTGTAAGATTTAAATGTTGCTTTTCAGGACAAAACGTTATGTAATCAACGGAAGGCCAGAGTTGTTTACACGCAGAAATGTTGATATTTCAGCAAATTAAATCAGCCCCACCTCGCAAAATACCACTTGCATCCAAATCTGTGCACCCAAACTGACAAGACCAAAACACCTCAGAACGGTAGTAAATAATAGCATATTTACAGAAGGACCCAAACCCTGTGTCCTCTACCTGAGTACTTGAGGTGATACAATGAGAGGCCAACAGTAACAAACAGTTTAAACATCCTAGAATACATTCTATAAAGGCTTGCCAAATGCCTGAATGAGAAAGAATGTACAAGATGGGCTCTCCTTCATTCTAATTCAACCCAGATTCTGGGATTATCTGTGAAAAATAGGACATCTTATATTCTCTAATAATAATAATTTTCCATAGACAGCTGTTGATGTGCCCATAGGTTCACAATAGCTCTTTTAGCACCGGATTCTAATAACGCTTTCTTCAAATATGTCTTTGAATTCAGAGCTGTCCGAGCTACTCATAGTGAACACTTTAATCGGTGAATTTCAACTTTTATTCTGCTTGTAAATTGTTACAAATGTTACTCACAGGCATTTGATACAAATAAACTGTGGCCTATCGTTTCTTCACAAAAGGTTTTTGCTGCAGTGTTTTGATATTCATTATTATGACTGCACAATTGGTCACCTCTGCTGAACGGTGGTGTTTGTTCTCCGAGACAATCAGTAACAAAGAGGAAATTCATGTTCTTAAGCCTCGATTGTCCAATGGAGAAGGTGTAAGCAGTTATGAAGTTAGGAGGAGCAAGATCACAAGACTAAAGGGTTTTTAGGACTATTTTAATATTTCCTTTCCAGTTCCCTTGACTCAGACCTTGCTTGTAACATCACTATGAGAACAAAGAGGCCACTTGAACATTATAGGCTAAGGTCAAATTGAAAATTAATGAACTCTTATCACATTCAGACAAAGCTCCAGCTGCAAAGGGTGGGGTTGGGTGCTTTTCTGGTTTATTTAATTGCCACTGAATCAAGGCTCTGAACAGTGGGCTTGCACAGTCATAGCTGCAAAAGATGAGGTCACCTACCATTTTCTGAGTCACTTAGCCATGCTTGCTCCAGACTCTGGCTTGGGAATCATTTAAATGGCTGATATCGTAGGTGAGAGCAAAATGAGTGCAAGTTTAATATCTTAATGAAACAAATGTCAGGCATTTGTTTTGTATGAATAAAACATCATTGGCATAAATCTCTGCGAAAAACAAATTCCAAACGGTTGTAAATCGAAATTCAGTTTTCAACGTGCTAAAAAGTGTGTGAAAAATTATGCTGTACAGCCAGCTCTGTTTAAACTAAAATGTTTGGCAATGCCCTGTCAGTGCAGGAAAAAATGGATGTAATATGCACATATGCACAAGTAGTGACTCAGAATGATGCACAAATGTTCTCTATATCTGATCCAAAAGAAATACCTGGAACTCAGGAAATAACGCTCCACAGTTCACCAAATTTGTCTGAGGATAGATCTTCTGGTTTCAAAACTCTGGTTTTCCCCAGAGTACTATAAACATGTCTCATGCAAGCAAATACAATCTGGGTCAACTGATATCTCTGGAAATATTGCACAAGCAATAGTTTTATTTGGTATTTATAGGTGGGAGAAGATGTTTAGAAAAAAAAAACATGACTGCTAGCAACCTAGAGACTGAACAGTCTGTACCTCCTAAAGCAAGACCTGTAGCCTAAACTTGTATCCATTAATACGTATTTGTGTAAGTCCAGGCATTTCCTTAGGTAGTCACGATAGTTTAATTGACTATGAACATTCATATGAATTATATTTAATTGTAAGAAGGACACAGAACTCTGTTTGTACCAATCTGCATTCAAGCTGAGCAATGATCTGAAGTTTCCCACTTCCTGTTTATAAAAGTTTTGGCTGCCCAGAGAAAACACAGAAACAGGAACAATAGCATATGACTTGGATGACTGTTGTAACACCACAGAGACCAGTTTCTCCTAGCTAAAGGTAATATTGTTCCAGTTTACTCTCTCATTTTTGGAGCTGGCAACCTCAAAATTATCAGTTATATATTTATACAGTTGGTGCACAAATGCATAATGAAATGGCACCACACCTTTACCCATCACATTAGCAGGCTATATTTTACTGGTAATATATGCAGATTGAAAACACAACCTTGTATCAACTTGTGTTTGGCTCTCTGTCCTTGAGGTGTTTTTCTGGGATAGCCTGCCCTCTGGAAGCCTTCCAGAAGGGAAGAACATATTTTTCCGAAGATAGTGTCAGGTCCTTGTGTTCATTTGCTGGAAAGAAGTCCGCCTTTGCCAGGTACAGTGATAGAAGTGTCTTGGAAAATTCAGATGAAGAAGTTCACGATGAGAAGAGAGAAAAATCATGGAGGACCTGCCAGAACAGCAGATCTTGGTCACCATGGTGAGGAGGGACCTCCAGCTTGCCTGGAGAGCAACAGACTGTCGCCCACTGCCTTGGCTGCGACGCTCCGGTCCCTCCTCCCCAAGAGCACCTGCGAGACGACACTGAGCACCACTCACTGGCAAATGTTTCCAGTTTTTTTTGAAGTGCCACTCATATCTGACTTTCCTATTTTCTTCCCTGCTGCCACCCCAATAGAAACGGCTGAGAGTTTTACATGAGCTCCTCTCCCTCTTCCAAAACAGTATTGCTGGGGATCTGAGAATGACTAATCTGTCCTGTTTACAGTCTGCTAGCTATCTGAATCCTAACATAATCTACATGACAGGGATCAGGAGACTAGAGAATTACATGTTGCCAAGCTACTGAGAAAAAAAAGAACTTTTTATGAGGTGTTTGGTAAATTCCCTCACTGTCTGTAACATCACAGCCCATAGTTTTGCTCCCCTACTCTTCTCTATATGTTGACAAGAAGTACCTAACATACTCACCATTATCCATGTGATACCTGAGAATGATTTCCAAGAAGACCACAAGCACAAACATCTAAGGCAATGAAGAAGAGAAAAAGCACAGTTAATAACTTAATCACACCCTGGGCTGACTAGCCTTTAAGCAACTGCAGTGGTATAGGAGATTTCCTACCCAAATTCCCACTTGAACATCTAATCGCTTCTCCATACCTATAGCATACAACTCTCAGCCATACGCTAACTACCTTCATAATTGTTCAGTGTGCATTTTAATTATCTTTTGCAAAATCCTTTTGCAGTTACGTACCACTTACTTCAGTCTACATTTGAGCACCTTAAATAAACAGAAGATACGGTATTCCAGAAATCCTTTTAATCAGAAGATATAGGTGTAATATGGCCTTCTATCTATAAACTGATAGCTGAAAAAGTTATATTAGAAATGAGGTACAATTTTTTAACATTGCACATAGTGTAATTGTTAGAACAATTTAGCACTGGGATACTACACATGGGATGTGGGAGAATTTTTGTCACTTGAAGTCTTTAAAATTGGAAAGCTTCCTAGAGATATGTTCTAGCTCAACCACAAGATATTGAGCAGTAGGCTCAATAATTCAGTATTGAAAGAGGCTGTGTAAATGCCTGTGATCTGCCATACACAGGATGATAGGTTAGAGAACCATAATGGCCTTAAAAATCTATGAGAACACTCTGTCTTTTCTAGCTCTGTATTTAAACCTGAACTGTCACAACACAATCAATTAAGATAGGATGAAAAAGGTGCAGCAATTGCAGTGAGTGGAAGATGTACGTACTCTACATGAAATGAGGTGAGTCTTAGCAGTTAAACAAAATGGTCTAGATAAATGGTGACTTAAATAATGAATTATACTCCAAATATGATAAAAATTCTTATTTTAGATACAACACACAAAGAAGAGGAACTCAAATAGTTGTGGAGTTATATTAAAATTCATTTTGAAAAAATATGCAGCTGAATAGCTGTCGTTGTTAACCTTTTGCAAATAAAAGCATTTAATATTATCTTTAATAATATTTAATCTTTATTGCAGTAATCCTGCATTAAGTGTTATACTTCTTAAGAATACTGGCACTATAACTCATCTTAAACTGGAAAGATTTGACAAGAATGAGGAAGTTCACATGTGCCAGTGTAACGGGTGTTAGGGATAGAAAGATTACAGAACAAAGCAGACATTGGTTGTTCTCGATGTTGTGCTCTTTTGGAGTTCCTTGTTATGAGTTTTTTTCTAATGGCAGATATTCTGTACTAGCCGGTATATTAGTAGATGATCTTTTGAGTCATTTCTGGAAAAAATTACACGAGGCTATTTGTGGAGTTGTTGAACAAGATCTTTCCTAGATTATGCTTACCTTTTGATATTTTTTGCACAATAAACTAGAGAGTGCTTTGTAAATGATTAAGCTATTAGCTCAGAATATATTACTGAGTAATGGTGAAGCATGGTCACATCAATTTGCAAAATGTGTGGAGGAGATACAGTTCATTCAAGTTGAAAAGTAACTTCAGCCACACTCTCGTGTTTAAAAGCTGAACTGGGCTGCTTCTTGTCTCCATTTGTGCATGTGAATGAAAAGGCAGAAACGTGTGCTTGTCTGTAGCTATATTAGTATTGTTATAAGTAAATGGAAATCTTGTTGTTTCTGCAGGAATTAGTCAGCAAGACACTGACTATCATCTTTTAAGCTAAGTTCGTGCCCTTCTGACAGGTACTGTTGGAAGCAAGAGTGGGTGGATTCAGATAACAAGGGATGCTTCTGAAATTAATAAAAATCATTTCACCTTTATGCCAAAAACTGAGAAAAGCCAACTACTTTCCTTAGCACCTTTACGTGCCGCTGCTTCCCCTCTTTGCAAATCATGAGTTTACATCTAAAACAAGGAAAACTATTCAGGGTGAGGGAAAATAGTGTTTATTTAGGAAAACACCACAATAACACATTTATAGCAAAGAAATATCCACCTTCACAGTATGATTGTTTCAGTTTTCATAGGTGTCTGTGTTACCTCCGAAGGAGGAGGATCGTCTGTGCACACTACTCCCACTCTCCCCATCCCTTCCTGTACTGTGCGCTGTGGTTTGTTGTCATCATTACGGAAGTTTCAGAAGTATATTCATGCAGGTTCAGCTTCTGCTGCTAAGGGAAGATCCTAATAAATTTCATAAGATGTCTGACAAGTACTTCTTTACTAAATCTTGCCCTATCTCTGGTCTTACTGCTGATACTGCATGTTTACTTTTAACAATAATACCCAATCTAGGCCCTTAGCCGATTACAGATCTAGTGCTTCTCTGTAATAGCACCTGGCCCTTCATCCTCTACTACTTGATCTTGTTCTTACCAGTCTTCATTTTGCCTTATTTTAAGCTGTAACATAGAGGTTTTATATGACATAGAAAACTCCTAAGTAATGGATTTTACTTTTAGGTAAGGTATAATTCCTTTTCTGTTCTTTATACTCCGCCAAAAGAGGCAAACATTGATTATTGCACCTTCCCTCTGAGAGTTTTTAGTACAGTTCTATTACACTTTGGTCAGTGGGTAAAAATAACAGCATTTCATTGCTTCTGTAACCTGAACTTCAGAAAATCTTAATGTTAACGTTCATCACACTGGGATAATGGGCAATTAGTTTTCAAGTATAGTGTGACTCATTCTATCTCTTATGATCTCCATTAAGCTATGGCAGAGAAATCCATCCTAGATCTTCAGAGCTGTTACTGATTTATTTAAGTATTTTCTTCCTTGTGCGTATAATCCTGTATATTCTAGTAAGTGTGAGTTAAGATTTGCCATTTGAAAAGGATTTCTTGCTTTAAACTTATTTTTCTTAAAACTAGGGCTCATATTTGGTTCATTGTTTGCTCTTAAAAAAGCAGCCAAGTTGGAAGAAAATTAATATAGAAGTTAAGAGTAATTAAAACTCAGAGTTGGCTGGACACTTTTGAAAGGTCCAGATGACTACCTGTGTCCACATATGCAGTACATTTGTCCAAGTTACTAGTGTGTGAAAAGCAAGGAGTGGAACGAAGGCTACTCGTGTCACCATAACTATAGCAGATGCTACTTGATGCCTGCTATAGTACAGAAATATGCTCTCGTTCTTTTACAGCAGCTTTGTTAGCCCTTCTTGGTCCTCCTACTCCTTGTGCCCTTGATTTCAGACCTTCTTGCCTTTGACCTTGAGCTTCCTTGCTCATCCTATAAAAATAAAAAATAAAGAAATGAGAAGGTGATTGTGTGACACTCCGAGTTGTTTATCGGAGAAGATGAAGATACTGGAGAAGACGAAGATACTGGAGAAGACGCTGCTCAGAGACACTCCATAGGTGGCAGTTTAAAATTATCTCTCTATTTCTCTCTGACTTTAATTAATGCGCTTGTATTTAAGATGAAATGTATTCAATTTGTGCACAGTGTAGAGAATGTCACACTACAACATCAGTTATATACCTAGCAATACAATTATCATTCTCTGCTGACAAATGTACCATGACATTGATAAAAAAGCCATAATTTCAATGTACATGTCAAAATCAGCCCCAGTAGCTTATTATACATTGTTAAATGAACATAAATACTAATGTTCAGTCTGTAATGTTCATTCATACTACAGCAAACGAATGTATAGGTCAAGGAATTCATTTAAATTGCAATACAAAAGGAAATCTCTAATGCTCACTGAACCTAAATTACATCTCTTTGCAAGCTTTCATGGAAGTGTGGGAGAAGTAAATGTTTGACCACCATAGGGCCAGGATGCAGAGAACTGATGACATTTAGGTGGCTAAACTTCCTTAAGTGTCCCTGAGATCTCCTGGTATAATGGCAAACCACCATTCTCAGGCATGGGAGCAGAGTGATCTGCAGCAGGGAGGAAGGTGGAGTGGTGGCAGGACACAGGAGGAGGACAGGACAGCCTCAGGGGGTTCCTCTTTCCTAGGTCATCGATCTGCTTTCATACTCAGACATGCAGGGAAGCAAGTAAAAATAATCTATTTTGGAGATGTCTGGGATTTCTTAGATTAAAATCAGTTCTTACAGTTGTGGAGCTTATCAGGATGCTGAAAGGCATGGTGGAGTACAGAGGTGAAATACTGACTCATGCAATCACTAGTGACTGCATGCAAGAACCGGGCACAAACCGCCAGGGCTTTATTTATGATGTGCTGTACCACAGCCAAAAGACCTAGAAATCCAGTTCTGTCTTGACATCACAGCTTTGGGTGACCTCTAAGGAAGCCAGGTAGAGGTAGCTGCTTTTCTTGTTCTTTCTCAAGAGGATCCAGCCACCTTGATCAGTCACAACTGCTTGTGCAGCATTTGGGGATCTCCCATTTGAGGCAGCAGACTACAGGCTACTATTTTTGATTTACTCCCAAGTTGCTTATACCCCTGCTTTGTTAAAGGGAAATAAGAGATATAGTTGGTGATGGCAAATACATAATTTGCTTTGGTGATGGTTTTTATGCTCATCAGGCTGAATGGTCTCTTTATTTAGCACTTTCAGTTGATTACTACTCTCTACTACTTTTTTTTTTTTTAAACTACTTTTTTGTGGGTTTTTTGGTTGGTCCTTTATTCTTTCTCTACATTTTCTGCCCTTTCTGTTACATTTTCCAAGGGGAAATTTACCCTTCGAAGAGTTTTCTCACTCCTGTTGCTGAGGGCCCAATGAGGTCAATATAGGCATCACCTTCCTTAATATGACATGGATGAACCTCACTCAGTTTCCTCTGGAAGGAAAATGTCCATGTTTTTATTTAGAAATGGCAGAGGGAGACCTAAGAGATAAGAATTTGATTTTCACGAACCCTTGATGGAGTTCAGCTGATATGATAATCAAATCTTTATGCAAAAGAAAATTGATTCACTAATAAATATTTCCTATGCGATAGCAAAATCTAAATTCTCAGACAGATGCATTTTACTGTGAAAAGGTAGCTTGCACCATTGAAGTAGTCGTCTGTTATGATCCTACAAAGCAGGAAAGTTGGGATTACATTTATTTAATAGCAGAAGTCCACCAACATTTTTTATCTATGATCTGATGTGCCGTTAGTGGAAAATATTTCTGCCACTTTAGAGGTGAGATATAAAACCCAGGGCTTTGTTATCTACAAATGACAAAATGTAGTGGCATGTTAAGAGTAGTTGTGTGCAATTTGGTCATCTACATCACATTTCAAAGACAACAGCTGTACGCCAATCACTTATATTTTTATCTCCTTATTCAGTTGTACCTTGCTTCATTTCTTTTATTGCCTTATAATATCATACAGTATTAGATCGTGATATTTGTCCTGCTGCAGTTAAAAGCAAAGCTGTCACGGAGTTCCACAGAGTTCCTTTTAATAGTTTCCATGTTTCATTTTAGAGGCACCAGATTTAAGTGAAATGGCTCCTTTTAAGTGTATTGCCTGAACACACACATGTAAAGCACTTTGGGATGGAATCACATATTCTATTATGATTCAACCACTGTTTACTTGAAACCTTTAGTTTGTCGGACATAAGGTGACGTTATCGTAGTGCAGACCAGCTTACTTTTATCTCTAATCTTAGAAAAAAATTAAGATGCTATGATACACCATTGTAGACTCTAGAATTTGTAACAGGTGCTCAGATATGTTTCCCTAACTCATAGCTCCTATAGTATCTAGGTTAAAAATAGATCATTAAGAGCATTTGGGTAGATGATGCAGCAGTATGAAATTGCATCACACCTGTCTCCATGTTGCAGCTTCCCAAGTGTAAGTAGGAGTCAAAATTTCCCTCCTCATTAAATAAAAACACTGATAGATAGTACATCACTTGGCATCTCCAAAGTGATATACCTAAGACATACCATCTGCTACAAAGTTGCAAAAACATAGCCTGAGAAAAGTGGGACATCAAGGTGGAGCTTAATTTTCTTTAGTCAGTTTTCTGTCTATCCTGGACTTGAGTGCGCCCAGTGCAGACACAGATTATGATGCCTATAACTGTAATGGCACAGAATAACACTGCAGAGCACAACTCTGCTGCCCAGCAGTAAGCACATGCATGTAGGAATAGGAAAACTTCAGTTCTAGTCACTACTCCCAAAATATACACATTTATAGTAACTGGGAAAAATATTACTTTATGCAGGCAGCAGGA